GCTGTCGGCGCACAGTAGGGATGAAAGTGGATTTTTAGCGTATTTATTTTTACAAACACGACAGTGACCGACAGTTACTCAATTGCATCTGCGAAGAGTCTCGCTATATAGCTATAATAGTCACTGTTTACCAACCCACACCAGAGAGCTCATGTGAAATTGATATTTCAGAAGCCAATATAATGTAATCGAGTTCGAGTTAATATATATATATATATGTTAATCGAGTTCACACCAAGAAGTGCAGTAAGCAACCGAGACGCAAGGGGTTGCTGAATGTGGGAGGGTTAGAAACAGGAGCATTGCTCAGGGGTCAGAAGACATGATTAATCATGAGATCAACATGTAGTAATTGAATCAAATTTAAATTTTTGCAAAAGATTAATGTTGGCTGGAAAACATGGAGACGGGAGGAAGTTCCACAAGCGAGAAGGCTTTGAGAGAATAAACATTCAGCATAGAATTTACGATTTCATCTAACCAGCTCAGCTGTAATTTAATGAGACCTTGGTGCTTGTCTAGTATCATTAAAAGAAGCGAAGCACGACAGCAGCTTCCCTATCATTAGTGCACACATACACACACACACACACACACACACACACACACACACACACACATATATATATATATATATAATGCATGTCTCATTAAATAATATGGACAAGTTTTGTTTATTTATTTTAAGTAAGTTCCTTTCATATTGTCTGATAAGCTTAATAACATTATCATTGAAAGACGAAAGGGAAATCACCATATTGATACATATTTAAACCAATCTAACCTTTCGGCTGACATAAGCCATTATCAAAGATGACAATTACATTTCAATATATCAAACAATACACGGACAAAACAATAATGATAGTTTGTTTTTGTTGCATGAAAAATTGAAAAAGCAACGACAAACTTGTGTATACGAGGCGTGTGTTTGACGAAAATAAATCGCAGCTCGTTATATATATATATATATATATATATATATATATATATATATATATATATATATATATATATATAAAATTAAATAAAAACAGACCACTTTAAGGGTCTATGTAATAAATTATTTCACCACAGCCCTTTTAAAAGGACTGCGGATCATCAGACTTTACTTCCAAACTAAAATGAGAAGAAAATGTACACATTTTTGACGGGCCGTATTAAACATGTAAATTAACGAAGTGAGGAAGTGAGAGACAAGACATGGTGAGTTAGCAGATATTGACACATTTAAACGGTTAACTTAACAAAAGTTATATATTGATGTCGAAGGATACGGATTACCTAGTTTTTCATAAACTATATATATATATATATATATATATATATATATATATATATATATAACTATGAGTTAATTAAATATAGATGCAAGCAAACCATAAGTACCTGAAGATTGTAATGAACATGAAACTCTGAGTCGTACTTTCAACGTAAGGTAATATGTATATTTATAATAATAACATAATAATAATAATAATAATAACATAATAATAATAATAATAAAAATATATATACATATATATATATATATATATATTTATATAGATATATATATAGATATAGATAGATACATAGATACATAGATAGATAACTAGTAGTAAATATACACATACATATACAAAATATATAAATATATATGCATACACATACATATATATTTTTGAATAAAAAATTCCAAGAGGATAGAATCCAGGTAGAACTCAATGTAAATACGATATTGGATCGTATTTACGATTCCAATGGAATAAATTATGACCATGGAATATTAGTGTTTAAATTTTTTTATATATATATATATACATATATATATATATATATATATATATATATATATATATATATAAGAAAAAAATATATATATATATATATATATATATATATATATATATATATATATATATATAAAATTTTTCTTTAAATATATGTATGTATGTATACATATTTTTTCTTGTCGTCACCGACGTCCGTTGGTACAGTTGGTATGTCGTTTGCGTTGTGTCGATACGGTCCTCCGTTCGATTCTGCGTAGTGGATATGTACTGCTGATGTCTCACGGGCAGGACGAAACGGCCGTTCAGTGCATTCTGTTGAGGTTTCTTCTAGCATCGATAATTGTTCTATATGATTACTCTAATTCCTCAAAAAAAAATTTTCACATATTTATATATGATTTTTCTTTTCCTTCACGGGTTCTTCTGTTGTCTTTACGTTCTTTTTTAATTATTCTTTTTCCTCCTCAACGTATTGTTTGTTGGTTTCTTTCTTTCTTTCTTTCATTTCTCTTTCCCTCCATCTTCTCTGTCATTTTCCTCCTCACCTTTCTTTCTTTCTTTCTTTCTTTCTTTCTTTCTTTCTCCATTTCTCCTCCATCTTCTCTGTCATTTTCCTCCTCACCTTTCTTTCTTTCTTTCTTTCTTTCTTTCTTTCTTTCTTTCTTTCTTTCTTTCTCTTTCCCTCCATCTTCTCTGTCATTTTCCTCCTCACCTTTCTTTCTTTCTTTCTTTCTTTCTTTCTTTTTCTTTTTTCTTTCTTTCTTTCTTTTCTTTCTTTCTTTTTTCCCTCCATCTTCTCTGTCATTTTCCTCCTCACCGTTCTTTCTTTCTTTCTTTCTTTCTTTCTTTCTTTCTTTCTTTCTTTCTTTCTTTCTTTTTTTCCTTCATCTTCTCTGTCATTTTCTCCTCACCTTTCTTTTCTTTTTTTTTCTTTCTTTTCTTTCTTTTCTTTCTTTCTTTTCATTTTCCCTCCATCTTCTCTCATTTTTTCCTCCTCACCTTTCTTTCTTTCTTTCTTTTACATCCATCTTCTCTGTCATTTTCCTCCTCACCTTTCTTTCTTTTTCTTTCTTTTCTTTCTTTCTTTTCTTTCTTTTCTTTCTTTCTCTTCATCTTCTCTTTGTCATTTTTTCTTCTTTCTTTCTTTCTTTCTTTCTTTTCTTTCTTTCTTTCTTTCTTTCTTTCTTTTCTTTTTTTTTCTTTCTTTTCTCTTTCCCTCCATCTTTCTGTCATTTTCCTCCCCACCTTTCTTTTCTTTCTTTCTTTTCTTTTCTTTCTTTTTTTTCTTTTTTTCCCTCCATCTTCTCTGTCATTTTTTCCTCCTCACCTTTCTTTCTTTCTTTTCTTTCTTTCTTTCTTTCTTTCTTTCTTTCTTTCTTTCTTTTCTTTCTTTCCATCTTCTCTCTCATTTTCCTCCCCAATTTTTTTCTTTCTTTCTTTCTTTCTTTCTTTCTTTCTTTTCTTTTTTTCCCTCCATCTTCTCTGTCATTTTCTCCTCACCACTTTTTCTTTCTTTTTCTTTCTTTTCTTTCTTTCTTTTCTTTCTTTTCTTTCTTTTTTTCTTTCTTCTTTTTCTTTCCCCTCCATCTTCTCTGTCATTTTCCTCCTCACCGTTCTTTCTTTCTTTCTTTCTTCTTTTTTCGGTTTCTTTGTCTTCCACGAATATCTCTTATTCATCTTCGATTTATTTGTTTCTTTTCTCTTTCCTATTTTTTTCTATTTCTTTTTTTCTCTTTTTATTTCTTTCTTTCTCTTTTCTATTTGTTCTTCCTCTTTCATTCTTTCTTTTTCTTTTTTGTTTCTTTGATCATTTGTTTATTTCTGTTTTTCTTTTCTTTTTCCTCTTTCACCCGTTTGCCAACTAAATTGATCCTGTTTTTCTTCTTTGTATATCTTCCTCTCTTCCTTCTCCATATTTTTACTCTTATTCTTATATGAAGTCTGTCGACACTGGTGAACATCGGCCTAATTTGTATCTTGTACTCACTGCGTTTTTCTCCGCCCTCATCCCTCATTTGGTGAGCCATGTTGATCAAGACTGACAACAAGAAATTAGATGTGGATCCGTCTATTGTCGCTAGCTAATTTATCACACGAGCAAAACAAAAGATACGCGCATTGAATGCGATTAAATTGTTAAAAAAAATGCAAAAAACGTATATAAATATACCGAGAGAAGTGTCGCGTTCTGTGATGTCTCTGGATCCCACCGCTACTACATAAAACAGTATAAAACGAAAAGGGGCATTTATTTTTGGTATTCGTTTTATTAAGAGTGGCAGTTTTGATCCTAAGAGGCACTGGGAGGAATGACGTCACAGGAACGCATGTTCTCTCAGCGTCCCTCGGCGGGTCGTATTAGCCGGTCGCAAACCTGACTGTTAGAAGCATACTGACGCTTCAGAATTCTTGAGACGTGTTTTGGAGTTATATTCAAAACCCAAAGGTAACACATCACTATCAAAAAGCTCCTCCCACGAGGCACTCAGGCACTCTGACCAATCTTTGACTATTATGGCCTTGGACTTCTCATTCTGTAACAGAAGCCAATTTACAGTTTTGAAAAAAAAAATAACGTTTCTCTGATATATTTGATCGTCCAATATCTATTCTCACGGTGTTTTCAGGATCTATTTCTGGTAACAAACCCGCAGGAATCCAATCATATCAATGCAATTTGAACGGAAGAATAATATTAACCAGTGTGTACAAACTGTTACTTGCTCGAAATATTAGAATTTAATGATTGTAATGATATTCTCAAAATAGAAAATCATCATAAAAATTCAGGAGATGCAAATCAGGTACTTCTTTTTAATCATTTGTGATATTTATAAATCTACATAGCCTCTGTGCTATTCTTTCGAGACGATATATGAAGGTTAATAATTCTTTGTAAGATATCGAAATGTTTTCTTTGGGTATTGTTTAGCTATTATTAAATCATATTCTCATCTACTACTTTAAATACACATCAAACTCTTAAGTTAAACCCAAACACCAACACTTAATCACATGAACTAACTTGCTACTTCTTCAGTGAAATTGCAGTCAAGGATTATATTGACCCTAGAACACTAATCATCAATTAAAGTTTCACCACTACTAACCATGAGTGTATCATATGTCTTTCTAATTAACCCATAGGATGGGGGAGCAGAGTTAAATATGTACCTATCCCTAGGGAATTTACCGATTTGCATTACACAACCTTCACTTCAAAGCTAACAGCTCCTGATTTTTCCCACGAAGTGACTCATCAATGTACTGACCAGGCTCAACATTGCTTAACTTCAGTGACCATACGAGAACTGGTGTTTCAAAATGATCCTCTTTGTGTGCGCGTGCCTCTACTCAGTGGAAATATACTCAGCCAATGTAGGTGTAGCATTCCTGATTTATCTATTCTAGAATATTCGCGAGCTAGGCTACAGCCACATCAAGCTGAACACACCGGTTCCCGTGTGATTACCGAAGTTAAGCAACGTCGATCCTGGTCAGTAACTAGACGAGTGACAGGCTGTAAGCTTGGATGTGCGGATGGTGTAATGGATAATGGCTCGAAATTGTTAATCGGAGGGCGGAGTTCCAATTTTCATTGGCTTCGTTATATTTGCTTAACGTGAAAATACTTTTGGGAAAGGTAGAAATCTATCTATTCTCTCGCCAGCTAAGGGTTAATTAGTAAGATTTGATCACTAAACAATTATGATCTTCAAGAAAGAAAATTTGTTGCTATCTAAAAAACATTTAATGACTTTAAACAACCTTTAGTTATTTATAAATCGAGATAGCTCTGTGCAATTTTTCGAGACAGATATGAAGTATGTAAGTCTAAAATTTGCCTAATTGTTTTTGTAAGATATCGAAATGTTTTCTTCGGGTATTGTTTAGCTATTATTTAATCATATTCTCATCTACTTTAAATATTTATTCTCCCTTTTCAATACACATCAAACTTAAAGTTAAACCCAAACACCAACACTTAATCACATGAACTAACTTGCTATTTCTTCAGTCAAAATGCAGTCAAGGATTATATTAACCCTAGAATACTAATCATCAATTAAAGTTACACCACTACTAACCCTGGCTATATCATACCTGATTTTGAAAATATCAAAAAATATATTAAATATAAATCTTTATTTGAAATATTTTACATGCAGGCACTTCAAACATTGTACTTTGAGTTAACATTAATAGGAACTGAAAAACATATTATTTAGGTAATAAAATCAGGCACTGAAAATTGAAATTAAAAATAGGAAAAATTACGCTGGTTAATATATACCCATGGTTAGTGTTCTAGGGTTAATCAGTAAGGTATTGGTGCTCCTATTAGTATAAAATGAATTTTCCCACCTCTCACTCATTTCAACTTACCATCATGTTACGCTACAATATCGACTGTTTTTCGATCACAGAAGTTAAGCTACGTCGAGAACGGTCAACACTTAAATGTACCAAACTGATTGGGCATGGGGTAAAAAAAACTCATCCCATAAAACTTTACCGGCTATGGAAAGTTTTACTGTTGAGATCGCCAGACGTAACCGTAAGTTCTATGCTAAGAGTTTCTTCTCTTGCATTTTGAACTCTCTTCTGGCTTCTTGCTTTCCAGTCAACTTTGATCATCAAAAATTTAAATGAAATATCAATTACCTTAATACCTTGTCTTCATTTACGACGTATCTCTCTTTTAAGAAATAAGTTTCACTAAGGCACCTTTTTTTTTTAAAGCTGAGAACTGCTACTTTGTAGAATAGACTGATCTGTAGATACTCACCTGAACACTACAACGCAACCTCTTCAAGTTAAAGTTCAATCGCTACCCTCCCTTCTTCACTTCCTTGTACTTTCCTCTTACGTTTTGTAAGCCTCTACTATGAGAGGCTCTTGAGTCTTGTATTAAACTTTATACTAAAAAATATTCTATAATAATGCAGCTTCTGAGTTCGTTACTTTAATGCAGTAAAAGTGGCACACCGCAACGTGATTTTTGTTAACACACAATAAAATTATTTTGCCCTAAATTGGCGATTAGCACAGTTGTCGTTCTGTTTGGCAATTTCATAGTGCGCGGTTTGCATTCTTATTTACATCGATAATTCTAGGTATATTAAAATTCATGTTGCAGCTTCATAATTCTTCTTAAATATATAAGGATTTGCGAATGATTATGGTCGTGATGAAATTAACTTTCGTTCATAAAAGAAACATTCATCATTTATTTACCGAAATGTGTGCGTTACTGTCGGTTGTAATTTATAGTCTTTTTCTTAAAAATAGACTTTTACGCTATTAGATATCTCAAATTCACTTTTACTGCTCTTTCTATTATTGACGTGAATTTCCCGCCCCTGCCACCAATCGTTTTGTTTAATGCAGTATGGAAAGTCAACATCGTGATTATATCATTATCTTCGCTTCCAGTTAAATGCGCTATTTATTTCTGTTGTTATTGCTGTTGAAAGTGCTCATCGTGGATGCTGCTTCTTGTTTGGTAAAGTGCTTCGTAATTTTGTAGCGCTAATCTGCGAAGGATTATTTCATATAGAAAAAAAAAACGATACATTCAGATGAAGCCATTTTAATCATTGCTCCGAGAAAATGCTTGCATATAGAATGTAGTCTGTAGATTTCTGAATGTGTTGGTTGCCATACATGACATCCATGTGGCAGTTTAAGTGGTTTCATAACGAACCTAATAGTCACCGATAGCTGTTTTTACTCAATTAACTTTATTTAAGCTCTAGCAGCCGTATCATAAATTTACATATCTTGAAACGCAAATATTTGTAGATATCAAATACAAATATAGATGAAGAATCAATTTAACTGATGAGTTCATTTTCGGGTCGGTGCTGGACGAACATCTTATAGACTGTTTTCAAAGATGAGTATTTTGGTAAATTGGAAGGGCCGCAAGGAACTTCACAAGACAATTCTTTGTGCGATAATTAAACTTAGCGCCTATTTTTTTTTCTTAAATGAACTCTACTTCAAATTCAGGGAGAATTTTTTCGGGCAAAGAAGTGTCTGCAATTTAATCGGTCCTGACCTGGCACCTCGACTTTAGTCACTTTCTCACCGACCGGATGTGGCTTCTCTCTGTAGTCTTGATGAATTTAAACGGGCTATTAGGTTGGAAACTGGGTCTCATCGTTTTACAGTAGATCTAGCTAGATGCCACCGTATGTTCGATTTAAATATTTTATTTTCTCACACTCCTCGCTTGTGCAACTCCTTTTTGAGTTCTTTCTTCCCTGTCAGCTAGAGACGTTTAAAAAAATGAAATTCAACGAAAATCGCCATCATACGTCTTCCTTATAGCTTGGGTTGAAATGATAAAAAAAAATACGAGATCCGTCTGAAAAGTAACGGGATCCGCCATAAACAATTTATTTCAATTCCAAACAACAAAGTACATGATTACCCTTTCAAATAACCACCCTCGAGTTTCATGAACTTTTCCATCCTTCACTGACATGTCTCTCTGTTCTGCTGGAAGGATTCTTCTTGGATTCTTATCAGCTTCAGCGTTATGAACCTCTTAGTGACCTACACGTCTTCAAAACGGGCTCCACTGATGATGCCCTTGAGAGTGGGGAAAAGAAAAAAAAAGTCATACGGAGCAAGATCAGGTGAATGGAAAGGTTGTTCCATTACGGCTATATTCTTCTCAGCCATGAACTGCCTGATGTTCAGGGCTTTGTGAGCAGGTGCATTTTCGCGGTAAAGTAGCCACGATTCTTCTTAAGTAAGCTCCCATCTCTTCCCGGGGACAGCGAAGCAAACATTAAGATTACAGTTATATACCCCAAACGGTTTATGTTTTAGTGGCTTCCATTTTTTTTCTCTAGGCCACATTTTCAGAATAAAAATTTGCTCGCAAATCACAAATTTTATGTGATAAAAAGTACATTTAAAAATTAAAAAAAAAACATAGAGAGGGTTAAAGGGAGAGAACCGCCGGTTCAATGTCAGAACATTATTATTGATAACTCTCTGCTCCAATTTGAAGACCCTAGTTACTATATTCTTAATACTTGATTTAATGCAAAAATACTACAATGATAAACCTTGCCAGTAATTTATTTTTATAGCTATTTATGCTGGGAGTAATGCATGGAAGTTCAAGTAATCCATAATATTTTGAAATCCTATTTATTATTGACATATGGATTATTTGAAACTGTTTCTAAATCTTTGCTTATCTTTCAATCATCCCGCCTCACCTGCTATCTCCTTCCGTCGCACCGAGGAGGCGCACCGTACCATTTGGGAACAACTTACTCCCCTCTGGCCTATAGCTCACACAGCACATCCAGACTCGTTACTTTTCAGGCAGGCATCGTAGATAGTAAGATCCAGATCTTCCCCTAGAAAAGAAAGGACTATCTTTAACAAGACAACCAAATCCAATAAAGCTATTTTATTTAATTGCGACTAACTAGATTTCCAAGTTTTGGGTTGTATGTAATCAATGTGAATCTATCGATCGTTGCCAAATTGCTTCGGTATTATAAGTTCTGCTGATATGAAAGAAGCCTGTAAAGCTTTTCTTTTCTACGCTTGGCATGCAAGAATTTCTTTCTGTTTCGAAGCAACGGAGTAAGCGATGTTCCTCGCTAATCAAAATGAATCTCTTTGCAAAGGATGCATGAATAAAATCTCAACATTCTGTTTATGACGATGGACTACATCCGGCAGCAAAGCCTCTGATCGGGAGGATTAGAGGATTGTGGAAACGGCACTTAATTGCTGTTGTTCCCAGATCCATCCGTACCGGGGTGGTAGCACCTGCTAGGGTCCCCATTCTGGGCAAATAGTGAACCCCCCCAAAAAAAAAGCAAAACAAAAAATCTAGAGTAAAAACGTTGAAGTGTAAAAATATATTTCCATGTTAAAACAAATACCAGAAATAGATTAAAAAAATCCTCACCAGCAATAGATTAAAAAAATCCTCACCAGCAATAGATTAAAAAAATGCAAAAAAAAAATTTTTAAAGAAAAAAATTGCCAGCAATAGATTCTTATCAAAAGAAAAAATACTCATATTATGAAGAAAATTACATTTCGGCATTAAATGACCCATAAGGAGTTGATATGCCGTTAAACAAACAAATTAAATCAAGACACCCAAGAAAATGAAATTTCGGCATTAAATGACCCATAAGGAGTTGATATGCCGTTAAACAAACAAATTAAATCAAGACACCCAAGAAAATTACATTTCGGCATTAAATGACCCATAAGGAGTTGATATGCCGTTAAACAAACAAATTAAATCAAGACACCCAGAAAAATTACATTTCG